AAGTCATCTACAAGCAGCTCCAAGATTTCCCACCTTCAACATGCGGATGATACTTTCGTCTTCTGCAACAGAGACCTCCAAGAAGTAGACACCTTCTGGCTGTTTCTGAAGTGTTTCGAAGCATCCACTGGCATGAGTATTTACATGTTAAAGTCCAAGCTCATGGGTGTTGCAGTGGAACACCAAACTTCCCATGAGTGTAGAATGTAGGTCGACTCTTTGCCATCCAGATAACTTGGACTACCCAATTGTATTGGAAAACCATGTAAGCAATTGTGAGATGTGAGATGCTATAGTGGGGGATTGTCCAACCAAGGTATCGATTGTTCTCCTGAAACTGGCTCCTGCACTCTAGGGGAGGGAATTTCGTTGTTCCGCAATTTTTGAACTTTGGAACCTTGACTCTTCCTATTAGGGATCAAGATCCTAAGTTATAGGGCATCCAGATTCCCTAGCATTGCACTATAGTATAGCAGTGTGGTACTGTAAACTTGTTCATAAAAAATTACATATAGTAGTAGCCTACAATATAATATAGAAAAATATAGTCTATAGCATAGTATATTAGTTCAATATAGTAGTATGCAATATATCATTGTATACTAGTGTTGTATGGTATAGTATCATATAACACACTACAGTACTAATTAAGCACTCTAGGGGGCCTCAATTTTTAACCAGATGGATATCACTCCTGTATAATTCATCAATAGATCCCATCTAAATTTGAATCAAGTTCCCCCACATATTAGGATTAAGATCCCTAAATTTTAGGGTATGCGGACCCCGATCCCTATTACAGGGAGCATCCTGCCTGTCATGATCCCACAGTCCCAGTCCTGATTCAATCTTAATCCTGGTAATTATGGCTAGCAGCTTGGAAAGGAAGATTTCTTTGGTGGCGCATCACTCTTATCAAAGCAACCCTTTCAAATAGCAAGACTCCATATCCACTAAGCTCCTCTCTTTGAAACTCATCATCTCTCTCTTTCTTTCCATTTTTCCGTCATAGAAACTATCATGATTCAGTTTCCCCCTCTCATCCTCCCTCAACAACTCCAAACCAACAGCCCTCTAATCTCTCTGAAACTCATCATCTCTCTCTCCCTCTCAAACATATTTCTGGTAGAAAGCAACTGAAGCTTTGACAACACTCCGCCTGATGACATTGAATGAGAGTTTGACCTCCTTCAGTCCCAAATCCAATCCTCTAATCATGCTGCAATCAATGGTGGCCAAGAACCAGGATGAGTTCACATGCCTTGTAACAGTAGATATCAGAGCTAATAAACTTGATAGGGCAGCCATTGATCTTGATGAGTCATTGGCCTCTTTTGAAGTAGGTCACCACAACTGCTATTTCCTTTCATCCAAAGCAGTGGATGGATTCCATAGCCTATCATTACAACTGCTGTTTCTTTCATCCAAATCTTTGGACAGATTCAGTAGACTATCCTTCTTTGGGCTCCATGGATGAAGCTTCAAGCTTTCTCTCTCTACACTCTCTCCTCTCTAAAGCACGGCTTTACTCAATTGCAGGGCTCTCTCTCTCTCTCTCTCTCTCTCTCTCTCTCTCTCTCTCTCTCTCTCTCATTCATTTGGAGAGTTCTCTCAAATCTCTCCTAACCTCAAAGCCTTTGTGAAACTTCAAAATTGATGAAGTAGTAGGACTTCTTAAGGACATGACAGATTCTGGATTAAACCTTCATTCTGTAATTTTTATCTTTCTGTTTGATGGGCTTTGCACAATAGAGAGATTTGCAGAAACTATTACAATGGTGGAAGAAACTTGTGTTATTTGGGTTGCCCCATATGATGCACAGTTAAAAGGCTTTTCTTAACAAATCAATGTTTCAGGAGGCCCACTGCTTTCTCAAAAGAATAACCAATTGTGGCTAATTTGTTGCTTGAACATTTTGATTCAAGGGCTTTGTGCAAAAGGAGACACTGAATTGTGAGGGTCCCCAATAAAATGATATTTTCTGGTTACAAATACATGCTACTTATTCCTTGCTCATATTGGGCTACAGTAAAGTTAACAACTATCAAGATGTGGTAGATTGATTGGGCCCTAAAGAAAGATTTGGGCTTTGCATACCACTGATTCTAGTGAACTAAAATTGCTGATCTTTGCCACAAAAAGAAGAATCGGGAAATGGCTGGAGTGTTTGACTATATGACTTGGAAAGAGTGCATAATTTACAGCCATGGTTTCTGCTTATAAAAAGTTGGGTACAACTAAAAAGGCAGTGGAACGCTTTAGCAAGATGGATGAGTTCAATGGTAGGCTGAAAACCTTCACTTACAATACAATTCTCTATGTTTTAATGGAGGAAGAGGCTTTCCAGGTTCCCCTAGCTGTTTACAACCAGATGTTGAGGGACAAAGCTGGGAAAACCCTAAATGCCCTCCAGACACCAGGACTTATAGAGTTCATCATTCTAGCTTGAACAAATCTAAGAAAATGCCCATAAATTACTGCACACCATGAGGATCGATCATTAAAAATGGAGTTGTTCCAGATATTATAACATGCAATATACTGATCAATGGCCTTTGCAAGATTGGCAATATTAATGGGGCTGTCAAGCTAATTCCAGGAGCAGTTTAGAGGCTATACGGAATTGGTCAGCCAAATAGTAAACTATCAAACCGATAAAAATTCTGAAATACAGGTAGACATACACAAACATATATCAGGATAATATGTAATCCAGATATATTGGAAGCTAGAAAAGCCTTTATACAAATTTTCAAGTTTCTGAATATTCAATATCCAGTTTTATCAGGTCCTTAGTTATTCATAGGAATAGATGCTCTTTACTCATGATATTCTCAGATTTTAGCTGTAATCCTCAAAGCTTGGAAGAAATAATCTGTGTTTTGAGCCAAGTGTAGAGCAGGACTTGAAAAATTAGCCTGAACACTATCCTAATAATAATTTAGTAAACTAATTATGTCAAAAAAAAAAAATTGCATGCCATATGATTGAGGGGTTTGGGTATATGCATTCGTAATCTTATCCAATTGTTTCAAGGATAATGATATCACATGAATATATTCAAGGTCCACAGGAAAAACAGCCCAAAATGATGGAATGCCTTGGATTAAGGCCAGGATAACTGCACAGGGGAATGTCCTCAGACCTTCCATTGAATGACATAAAGTAATTGGTCCAATCGAATTTGGATTAAACAGCAAGATTGGCTAGAAAAAAGGGGAAAAAAAGGCACGACAAAGCTTGCAAGAGTCAACTGATTCAACAGGTGTGACCAGCTGGATTGATAAGTTTGGTTTTGTTTTAACTGAACCAAATTCATGGGGTGACAAGAGTAAATGGGCTTTTCCTAGGTCCAGATTCCAAACTACATGAACTAGTTGATCCAGTCCATTCCTCAAAACAATGATTTTAACAGATATCTTCTCACAACAATGTCTTTAATAGCACAGATTAAAAAAAAATAGACAATGTCTTTAATAGCTAGACTCCCGAACAAACTGCGGTAAAACCATCACCATTCTAAACCTAAAATTTTCTAATTTCATGCTCGAGATCAAATAGTTAATTATCTAATGCTAAAGGAACTAATAGAAAACCCACACCTGATAAGGAACATACAGAAGAGTATTCGAGGAATTACAAGGGGGAATAACCCCAAAGATTATTTTCACTCTATGAGACAATAGTCATTAAAAAAATATCCATAAGAGATCCAAAAAGCACTTGAATTCACAAAAAGGACAATGAAACAGAGATACACAGGTATTGGAGGAATGACCAATTTCTTAATTGAACCCAAAATTCAAGGGTTGACAAGAGTAATGGATGGGCATTGCCCAGGTCCGGAGTCCAATCCACTTGAACTAGCCGATCCAGTCCTTACAACAGTGGGTTCTAATAGATAGATTTTCACAACAATATCTTTAATAGATACACACATTTATAGGGGACTTCAAATCATTCTTTAGAGGGCAGCAAGACCAAACTATGGCAAAAAGAAATTTCTAATTTCATGCTGGAGATGGGAGAACTGATTGTCTAACCTTTAGCAAGGGACCCAACAGAAAACCCAAACGTGATAAGGAACAATGCAGATGATTATTGGAGGAATTACAAGGGGGCAAAAACCTTAAAAATTACTTTTTCTTTACATAGATAATAGTCGTTAAGAAAAATTCCATAAGAGATGCCAACAAACACTTAAATTCACAAAAATGACAAGGAGACAGCGATACACAAGAGTAAGTATAGCCATATACAACTATGCAAAAAAAAAAAAGTTCAATAGGTTACAGATATATTTGCCAATCAAAAAGAAATATATGTTAATAATCAATGCATAATGCATCTAATAACGCATCACCAAGTTCAGAGACAATATTCCCATTTGAGTCCTGTAACACATATATTGTCTTCAAAGAAGTCTCATATCAAATACCAAAAGCATGATACTCTCTGAATTCAAATATGAAGAATCCTAAGAAAGAATGAAGAAACGAACCTCATTTCAGTTCCATCATCTAGACCATATCATGGATAAATCTTCATGTAAGCAACCAACTGAAACAGAATGAGCGGCAGAGGTAGCCCATTTGCATTCCATTGTTTATGATGCCTCTTTGTAAATAATCAACTGAAACTGAGCCTTTACACAGCCCACACACACACACACACACACACACACACACACATGCACCACACATACACACGCAACACACATACACGCACAACACAGAGCCCCCCCCACGACACACACACACACACACAACAGAGAGAGAGAGGATCCACGCAAACAATACCATTATAAACATCTTTCAAGTAAATTTCAATGCAAATGACCAAGTGAAACATAATTTACGGAAGAAATAATAGAAAGAAAACACATCTAAATTCCATCATTCATAGATGTCCCCTACCAATTTCCATGCAAACAACCGAGACTAAATTCACAATAGAGATAAGAAAGAGAGAGAGAGAGATACTGGTATCAACCACTAACATTTGTGACCGACACATCAATCTCCTCATCCTCATCCTCTTCTTCCTCCTCCTCTTCCTCTCTCATCTTTGCAATCTCAGCCTGAGCTCTCTCCATTATGTGCCTCTTCTGCAACTCTAGCTCCCTCTGAAAGTCCATTCTCATCCTCTCAAGCTCCATCATTTGCTGCCTCTTACTATTCTCGATCTTCTCATATATCTCTCCAAACCTCTGAATGGAATCGGCTAAAAGCCTGAATGACCCGCCATCCGAACCCCAATCTGAAACCCTGGCCCTCTTTGGCAGTGGAGGTGGGCTATCCCCTGAACCAGAGTCTGAGCTTTCTGGACTATCACCAGGTGGATTCAAGCAAATTCTGGGGTTTCCAAACACGAATTCGCCCGAATCAAGCCCACAAGCCAATCGAGCAGGTGCTTGAGGCGAGGCTTGAGGAGTTGCAGAGGAGACCTGGGACATGAGCCTATCCATCTTCTTGAAATAGGGCCATTTTGAAGATGAAGTATGGCCTAAAGCCTTGGCCTCTGCGATTCTTTGTTTCTCTCTCTTAAATTTCTTCTTCAGAGTGTCGAGTCGATTTCGACATTGGGCTTCAGTTCTTGGAGTTTCAGAGGAAGCCGAAACCCTCTTCGAGACCTCAGCCCACTCATCAGAGCGCAAGCTTTTGCGCCCATGTTGAAGAAACCTCTCACCCCAAGCTTCCAATAACACCATTGTTGAGTGTTCACACCAGTCCGCCTGTGAAGCTCGACCAAATGGTGAGGAGACGGAAAGTTGTTGGGGTTTACCAGAGCTTGGGCGTGAAGCTCGAGCTGCGAATTCAAACCTCTGAGCGGGGTGGGCATGACGCCTCTGCCTCTTCTCCGGCTGATGGTCTTCCTCCTCTTCCTCTTTAATGGGGTGGTGGGGTTGGGCCTTTTCTCTCTCTACCTCATCCCCTTCATCCTCTTCCTCATGTTCTTCTCTCTCCTCAGCTTCTCTCTCTTCGTCACCTTCTTCTTCTTTCTCCTCATTGTGGTCTTCTTCTCCCTCTTGTTCATCATCTTCGTCTTCTTCTGCTGTTTCTCTCTCTAGATCCTCCTCCTCCTCATCCTCCCCCTCCCCCTCCCCCTCCTCCTCTTCTTCCTCTTCATACTCTTCTTCTTCTTGATGAAGTTGTTGGTTGTGGCGAGAATGGAGAGATCGATGGCCATGGGCATGGCCATTGGGTGTAGAGAGAGAAGGGTTTCGAAGAGGAAGTTTGGGGCGATGGGAGGAAGGGAAAGAGGATGAGGATTGGAAATTGAAGGGGTAAGGGTTCGGTGGGTACCTCGCATCATCCTCTGTATCGTCCATTTTGGGGGGTTTTCTGTGTACGTGAGAGAGACGGAGAGAGATGGGATTCCACAGCAGAGAGAGAAGGGGTCAAAGGATTTGATTCATTTTGAAGAAAACTGGATGGATTTGTTTTCAGAAGAGAGAGAAAGGAGGAAAGGGTTAATGGACTTGATGATAAATCTACGGATTTGTTTCTTTAGAGGAGAGAGGGAGGGCAATCTTAAGCGAAGGCGATGGGTTCGAAAACAGAGGGATTCCTCAGCCAAGAGAGAGAGGACCAGTAAAAAGTTAGAGAGGGAGAGAGGACCATTAAAAAGTTAGAGAGAGAGAGAGAGAGAGAG